TCAAGGAGGTAGTTAAACGATTAAATAGTTTAACAGAGAATGCATCATCTGAGCCTGATGTTACTCCTACTAATATCTCGAGAGCTGTAAGTACTACTAACTTAAGTTTGTCGAAGAAATATGGATCCATGAGTAGAATACCGGTAAACGCTAATCTAAGGAAAAGCTTTCCAAGTACTCCGTGTCATCTAGACCAACTAGATACCACTAGCAGTACTTTTGACGGGACCAATAAAAATAAATTGTTAAATAAATCAAAAAGTGTACAAAATTTGGCAAAAAATAAACTATCCTTACCTAAACCCATCCAGTCTCTCGATAGAAATGTTGGCAAGAGTGTACCTGATCTGAAATCGAAAAATCCAGCTGGTAATGTTAGTAAACCATATAAACCAAAAAGCGTAAAAGATCTTGGAGGAAGTTTGGATAAACCTAGGAATGTTCAAAAGTTTAATGCAAAACCTATCGATGTTAAAGTTCCTAAATCATCAAATGAAGCAAATAAAACGGGAACCAAAGGCAATGTAAAAATGGCCAAAGAGAAATCAAAACCAATTTTGAAAAACACAAAAGTTCAAGATGTTATTAAATGTAAACCAGAGTTGAAAATACTTTCGAGTAATAAGATAGATGGTCAGGTGTCTTTATCGAAAAATGTGGTTAAGAAAACTGAGGTTTTTAATGTTAAAACAGTAGACAGTGTAGATCCTAAAGATACATTTGTGGCATTACGTGGACCTCGGGATAAAGGTGTGAACACAGTGATAAAGAAACTGGAGGAAAATAAAGAATCTTTGACTAAACCTGTGTTGAAAGTGACGAGAAATCAAACGTTTAAGAAAAACACTCATGATGCAAGTTCCTTAAAAACGAATAATTATAGTAATGTAAATGATAAGAAATCACAGATTGAATCAAATATAGTTGAGAAATCATCCAGATCTTTGGAAAAAGGCACACCTGCTAGAAAAGTGGTAATTGGTAACACTAAATTCGATCAGCACAATTCTAAGGAAATTTTGGAAAAAGTTGACTCCAATGAGAAACCGAATTTTTGTCGCCAAAATAAAAACTTGTCAAATAAAGCCATCAAGCCATTGCCGAAAGTACATATTGATAAGCACTTGGATTATTCGTCAGATAATTCGGATGATTCAGGAAATATTTCGAATGAAGTTGATTGCGATGAGCCGCATTCTACCGGGTCTCGAAGTCGAACCAGCACAGAATCGTTAACGACCATTCTGGATACTGCCAGTATTCTGATTTCTAAAGACGTCAGTCTGGAAACATGCGAAGTAACTGTTACATTGGAAAATCCTTCGAATGAGGTGAGTTTATTTAAAATTGAATAAAAAAAATATTTGATTTTCTTCATAAAATTTGATTATTATATTTTTTTCTATAAATTGAAATATTGGCTATAGAACATACATTTTTATTAGATTGTATATTCTTATTCTTACCACCACACTTACTTGTTCGCTATTGTCGTATAAAATCAGGCATATTTAACTATATTGGAGATCTTGTGATAGAAATAAAAGCTATGACACGTCATAGCTTTTATTTCTATCACAAGATCAGATAGTACCAGGCATCACGATGCCTGGTACTATTTTAGATGCAAAATGCAGCAGCGTTTTCTACAATTGTGGGGCTTGTTACAATTTATTTTTTCCGTGTAGGTATTTAAGAATAAATAATGAATTATTTGTTTTTTTTATAGATAAGCCAAAACTGCGTTACCTATTCTGGTTTGTCTTATTAAAAACACTGTATATATTACACTCTTTCTATACATCTTTCTTCTAATGAAGTCATAAACAAAGATGTTCTATCAAACTGTATTTATATGAAAACTATTAAAAATGCTGTTATGGAGAGATTTATTGAAAATTTATTCCCAGAAGGAATATTCATGAACTAAGGTGTTTTCCAATAAATTTTATTGATAGTAGTTATAGAGTAATAAATACCCGATTTATGTTTATATCTTTCTTATACGAGAATTTTCTTTATATTAAGTTATTATTATTATTATTGTTAGATTTATTTCTATGTAAGATTATATAATTTTAATTGACTTTTTTGTGTTCTATTAAATTATGGTGTAAATTAAATTGTTATATTGGTGTAGGTATTGTGTTAAAATATGTGTTTTACACTCTCAAAGACATTTGTAGGCAACTACTGTAAATTTATCGTAACACTTACCTGTATATATGATATTATTATGGATATGAGAGAGGTGTAGGGGGATATAACTTTTTTATTCTATTTAGTATTTGCATATTTTTCCAATTGTTATTTGAGTAACATTATATTATTATTACCTCGATGATTACCTTATATTGTTAGTTATATTTAGAAGGGGTTCGTACACCCAATATAGAAATCTGTGATATTTAGGGTATATTTAAGAATATACCAGGCAAATATCATCAAATTTTTAAATACAATATTCGTATGGCGCATTAGTGCGAGGAAGTTCGATATCGTCGTTGTTCACAAAGATATATGATAACTGTTAAAATTATTGTGCATTGAAATTTGACGAATATCTTTTAAATTATTAGTTTAACCGACTAACCATAAGATACCATTTATGTAGAGCAGTGAATTTTCTACAATACCATTAGTTGCGCGTATCATAATGATTTTTTGTTAACGGGTTATAAGATTCATAAGAAAAAAGAAATCTGCCTTAGAATAATCAAACTTCAACTTTCCAACAGTGAGGTTTGCAAAAAATTGTAATTTTTTTGTAGAGAATTCAATTTCCTACAAATATATGAGATATTTTTTCCATGTAGTAGATACATAGATAATGAGAGTAAACGATAGTAACGAGTACGTAAGATTGTGGAGTAAAATACTCAACGGTAATAAAAAAATATACACGTTTAAAACATATTTTAATTATTACAGAATTAAAACCTATTAGCAAACAAAACAAAAATTAGCTAGATAAAATTAAATGCTCAAAATGCTTCCTTTCCTGTTAACTGAATAAAATGTTTGTCTTTTCAAAAGGATCTTTTCATTTTAAAAGGCATATGTGAAGTTCTACCTCGAAAAGTGGCTACAATAATTTCTCTCATGTTGTCGACAATAGTTGCTCGAGTTTTGTAAACACTGTTAACATATCCTCATAAAAAAACCAGACTAGATAAAATCAGGAGCATTTAAGTATTCTATTAATTGGTAAATGCACACTGCATTCACCAACTAATAGAATCATATAAATTCTCTCTCATGTAGGATAAGTTTGCATTTTTTTGAATTTTTGAGAATTTTTTTTGTTTTAACTGACACAAAATGATAACTAGTTGTTAAAGTTGGACTAATTAGACAGCTATGTTGAAGTAACGTCAGACATATCACAGCCATCTAGATTTCATCAAATAATAAAAATCTACTCAGATCAAATCATGTAATTGAAAATATCTAGGAAAATCTTTGTTTGAGGGGCAACTTTTATAGTATTTTGAAGAGACATGAATTCTCCATTGAATATCGGAATAATATACTGGGTGTTCCATTTAAAATAAAAGAATAACATGCTTTTAAAGGTGACCAATGTTCAATATTAATTTTGTCTCATCCTGTATAATTTTTGGATCAAGTTTTAATTTGATTTAAAATACAGTAGTTAATTTAACTACATATTAGGCTTTACAAGGTAAATTCCAATTTAGGTAGCTTTTATTGTAATTTAAAAATTGTTCTTTATTTCTAGAAAATGTTAAATATGTCAAAAAACTTACATTTTAGTCATATAGTTCATATAAAACACACCTTTATTTTTCTCCCAGAATCCGAAAATTAATTAATATATAGGGTGTTCCATTACAAAAAACACAACTTTGATATGTAACTTTTTTTGGGGACACCCTGTAGAACTCTCTATATTTTTAAAAAGTGCTCTGAATTAACCTACATAATATGCTGACACAATTTTATTTCAATATACAAACTGTCGTTTTCCTTGGAGTATCCTCTCCGCGGCGTATGAGAGGCGCCACCCTGTATTTTATTAGATATTTACGATACAAGTAAGTTAACAGCATCATTAAGATATGGGGTGAAAGTTGCACAACGAGTGCGTATCACGAGTTTTAAACCACATAAGAACTCTGCACACAAGTATCTTTATGGAGTTAACTCGCGTGTATTGTACAATATTTTATCTACGTCTAACTATAAAAACACACAATGAATTTTAGAAATTATTGTACTTAAGTATGTACCTATCCTAAAAAACAATTACCTTAATACCTTTGTTCAGATAACACCATGCATGGCAATGTCAATACGACAGTAAATAATATTGATGTCACTAGTTTAAAAAATGAGCGATTCGGAAAGTATTCCCTCTCATATTAAAGAAGAGGCATTCAGAGCCATTTCTGGATTGCTTCCAGCAAGTTCGAAACAGAAGTATGAATATACATACTCTAAGTATGAAAAATGGTGCACCGAAAAAAAACTACACAACTATGGAAATGAAAAGGTACTCATAACATATTTCTCCAATTTATCCACTACTTATAAGCCTTCATCTCTTTGGGCTTTCTATTCAATGATACGTACTATGAAATCTATTAAAATGAATATATATGCTTCATCAGGCATTTACTTGAAAGATTGTTCAAACTGTATCAAAGTTTTCAAGTTTTGATAATTATTATCAATAGAACAGTTTATTTGTATTTAGTGCAAAATAAATGTTTTACAAAATATTTTTTTCTCTTTGGTAGTCATCTAACAAGGAGTGCGGTAATGAAAATGCGCGAGTTACGTATGCGTCTTAACTCACTCAAAATGCGTGAGTTAATAGCTTCTTAACTCACTGACGTAGATAAAATTATTTACATTTCCAATTCAAATTTATGACAGTGTTTGTTAATCGAATAGCCATAAATTTCGAGGTGTAAACTTTTACGTAACTACAGGATTAGTTATATCAGTGTTATTAATTGCTCAATTTGTTTCAGATCTTCTTCCGCACTGGCGTAATATCTCAGCTTGAGGCTCAGCGCGATGAGCGGTTGGCCGGCGTGGTTATCTCGCTGCAGGCTCACTGCAGGGGCTATTTGGCACGGAGAAAACTGCAACAGAAGAAATTACAGGTGAGTTACTATGCTCAGTTGTGCCTTGCTTGATGATTTAGAAACGTATTTATAACGTTCTTTAAGTTGTCAAAGTTGAAAATGTATGGTGTTCCTGGATGCACTTAGCTCTATTTGTCTAGTTTATTTTTAACTATCTGTTTATTGATCAGTATTTAAAGTGGGATTTTCATATCTATTTTATCTTACCAAGAGAATCCGAAATTATACAAATCATATCAATTATATCATATTATGCTGCTTCAAAAAGGACCGTAAAAAATTTGATTAATTCAAAATATGGTGAAAAAAACTGTACAAAACTTAAAAAATCTAATCAAGTTATTTTATTAAAAAAAACGGCTTCTACAGATATAAAATTCCTCTAATGTTTATCTGTGTCGTCTCTACTGAAGTAACACTTGCTCTAGAAAGTTGCTTTTTTACTAAAAGATAGCTAATTGGCTCTTCTAAAAACTGTCGTCGCCGGATTTTTTGTTTTCATTTAATTAAGAAAAAATGAAATAAAAAGTTTTTTTTTTCCTGATGTCGTGGCGGATGCGCCAGGCTTCAACTAGTGTGTTAATGCAAACAAACAAGAACAAAACACCACATACCAAAAAAATATAAAAAATAATTATTTCCTACTTTCAATCTTCCCGCATTTATTATTATATTTATCAATATAACTTATCTACAAATACAAATTTGTAATATTCCACAGGAATAAATAAAACAACATAAATAAGACATACTATTTTATTAATAATAACACTTACCCAATTTTATACCTTATACCTTGATTAACTAACTTTAATTTTATTTTTTTTCCATAGCAACTGTTAAAATTGCCTATCTATCAAAAATAGTACATAAAATAGTAGTTTAACCCAGTTTAACCGCAAGGGTAGATCTATGAGGTAGATTAAATGATACTTTAACAGCGAGGATAGGTTAAAAACTGTATTTCTTCTCGCACGTTTTTTAATTGCTTCCATTTTTGAAAAATGTATTCCTTTTCATAAGTTATTCGAGATTTAAATGGAAGTAGTTTGGATATGGCGTTTGTCGTCTCAGCTCAGGCAACAACATATATTCAGATATATGTTGGTAATTTACTTATTTCGTTTTGAGCCATTTCTGGCTCCAATTCAATCAGCAATCGAGACGAAAGAGCATTAAAAAATATTGAATCAAAACTGACAACTAAAGAGACAGCATGGAGACAGCTTTATTTATTTGTCAAATTACATAGAAACCAACGCCAACCCAACACAATATTTTTTCTACTCGTAATAAATTCCTTGATATAATAATTTCTGAATATTTTTTAAAACGTAACTCGCTATGGAAAAAATATTTTTTATACACGACGATAAAATTGCATTATCGTCTCTCGAAATTAATTCACGAGCGATGAAATCGCGAGTGAATTAATCTTTTCGGTCGACGATAAAATACAATTTTATCGGTTTGCATAAAAAATAACTATTATTGAGTGATGTAAGTCCATATTAATCGCTATGCCTCTGCTTTGTGGATTCCAGTTTATGGTAATAATACAATGTATACGTTTATTTTTAGGATTTGGCGGTGAGATGCATCCAAAGAAATGTCAGGAAATTTATGCTTGTTCGCGATTGGCCATGGTGGAGGTTACTGGTGAGAGTAACGCCTCTGTTGAACGTTCACAGAACTGAAGAAGAATTGAGAGCAAAAACGGTAAGTCAATTGACGATTACGTATAATTTATTGTGAGATTGAGTAGAGTGGAGATAATACTGGATTTCGTTCAGCCGACCAACGGACGGGGTCACCCAAGTTGAACGTGTGTAGGCCGCTTTAATATAATATGAAATATCGGTCAAAGGCCAATTTTTTTTTAATTTTTTTTTTGAAAGATAGAAAGTTGTGATTCCAGTTTTTAGTATCGTTTCATTAAATACATTTTTATTTAGGTGAATTTCTTAGCATGCAGATATTTCTTGATCTCTAGGCATTAAGGTTGATTCTCACTATACCTTCCATATCAGCTCCCTTCCGTTTCCCTTCCGTTTGCATAAAATATTATATCATGTAAATGAATAGGACAGTGCACACTATCCGTTCCGTTTCCCTTCCGTTCCATATCCTTTCCTTCCATACATTTTTTTAAGCGTATCGGAAACAGCTTTGTCAAGTTCTTACATTTGTACCAGCTCTGTTAAAATTTTGCTGATATTACGTATTCTTTCACCTCTTAATTAAATCTATTACCCTTTTCAAAAGATACAAATTTTTAAAATAAAACTTTCGTAGTGATATAAATTGCACAATAAAAAGTATGAAACTATACGGAACGGAAGCTTACGTATAGCGTCAATACAATAAAAATACGGAACAAATATGAAATGGATATGGAATGGAAATGGAAGGTATAGTGAGAATCAACCTTTATTGTCCTTTTAGGCCCTTGTTACTTAAATGGTTTAAAAATATTATCAGTAAAAACAATTGCCTTCTTGCACTTCTTACAACATTATTTATTGTGTTATTCAGCAAATGTATAACACAACAACGTCAATTCACCTTCATGCAAATATAATCCTTCTATGATTTCTCTAATATAGTCGTGACTAATATAGTCTTTTCTAAATTTAGTTTATTTTGTGATTGGTGAGAACTGCGAATAATCTTTCAATACTAATTCGTTTTTCTTAATTTATTTTACACATTCGGCGGATCATAAATGGGAAGTACCGAGACTTTCTAGTTATAATATTTTTACCGTACTTAAATTAAGTACCGCACCTTTCCTTGGAGAAAGCGATTTAGTCGATAGTGATTCCCATTGTAAATTTTCATTCCACCGGTATTAAATCCCTTCATGAATACATCTTATTTCACAACACATTTTTTTGTTTTTACCACACGTTTGTATGGTAGTTATGATTGATAGTAGGATTACAACTGTTACTCTTACTTGGTCATTGTAAATTTAATAAATATTTATATGTAGGAGCTATATATGATATTCAAAATTTGTTGTACGATGTCAGGTAATGTACGTATATTAGATCTGTGTCTACGAAAGGAAATTAAAGAATACAGACACAATATTTGAGTATGATCAATTTACTACAAAACGCATTTAAATAAATAGCAATATACACACATGGCCAAAATTATTGCATATGTATATCGTTTAAAAATATACGGGAAAGCATTTAAAAATCTTTTTTTATACATAGCTTTGATAATCTGTAATAAACATTTTTTTGTTAAAATGGATACGGTAAACAATGTTTATCGTTCAGACCCAATATCATTACAAATTCTTGCTTATTTCGATTTGTGGTCTCTTGGGTTTCAGAAGAAATTTGACCATTGTTTTGGCCTTAAAATGACTAGAAACATTATTCCACAGTTTAATAGAGTCAGAATAATAACACTGTTTCAACAGGGCTACCGGCAAGTTGCAATAGCTGAAATTATAGGAGTTAACCAAAGCGATGTTTCGTGAATATTAAAAAAATTCAGGGAGACAAACGGGGTTACAGACCGGCCTGGAAGAGGTAGAAAGAGAGTTACTACTGCTGTGCAAGACCGTCAAATATCCCTAATTGCACGACGCAATCAAATTATTAAAAATGAGTTAGCTCGCCTTGAAGGAGTAAATGTTTCAAGAAAGACCATAGACAGAGGATTACATTGACACTCCATGACAGAGGATTGCATTTAAGGAGGGATTGCATTTAAGGAGGCCTCTTTTACGTGTTTTGAAGCTTAATTTACAGCACAAAATTACGCGACTACAATGGGCTGAAGAGATGAGAAATGGACCTAATTGGAATTTCGTCATGTTTAGTGATGAAACAATAGGCCTAGTGTCAGTAAATCATCAAACATGGGAAGCCATGCCTCAACATCTTCTGGACAATTTAATTGAGAGCACGCAACGTCGTCTCACAGCTTTCATTGAGGCTCGAGGAGGCAATACAGACTATTAGTTGTGAGAAAGAATTAAATTGTTTTCAATATTTTCTGTTTAAAATGAAATTTGTTTTTGTTGATTTTCACTCATTATGAAATAAAATTATAATAACAGCCTAGTTTACAACTTAGATTTTTAATTTTGTATTAGTTTGTCGTGTAGTAAGTCAATATGTCCAAAAATATAACAAGAATCATATTAGGTCCAAAATAAAATAAAAATATTGTTATATGCAATAATTTTGGCTATGTGTGTATGTATCTATCGCTACATAGAAATACAAGAGTTCATGGACTTTACGAGTATGTCACCGCAAAACACACTCCTCCCACTTATTACATCGGGTACTTGCAGATTAGTGGCATATTTATTGACGGGATGCATCGTTATGTATGTGAAGGGTAGTAGACCGAGTTTGGAGAACAGTGCAGTTGTCATCGTTAAAATTGTTGTGTTATTTTAATAATTTTTTTTTCTTTTATTATTTTTTTAATTTCTATAAATATTATGTTTAATTTGCGTGGAACAACTTTGCGAAAATAAATCTTATGTTGTATTTCTTCTTGGTATTTTTTTATATGAATTACCCGGCAAGAGAGAATTTTGTTTTTCCTTTACGGATGCCCCGTAGCTACAGAACTGATGAGAACCAAGTGAGAATGAGTCGCCATTTTAATTGAAAAGTAAATTGATTTTATTCTGTCTAGTTTTTGATGTCGTGAATTATTTTTATTTCAGTTTAATTTTTTTTAAGTTTCTCTTTGTTAAAATGCTTTTTTACTAAAATTCGTCTTCTCAAGGTACAAAAATGGTGCTAAATAAGAATAAATGGAAATCTATGATATAGTTCGTTTGAACTATTTTAATACAACTATTTGTAAACAGGCACCTTTATTGAAAAAACTATAAGCGATACCAATTAAACTTTTAGTTACGTCCGGCATCGGGCGCGATTTTTAAATAAATTGTTGCCAACCATGGACATATTCGGCGCTGGGTTAACTAACTGGAAGTTAAATTTCCCGCTGGTGATTCAGATGGTAGCTCTGCTGTAAAAAATGTCAAGTCCACATTTATTTATTTATTTTGTAACAATTTCCATTCGTCGTTTCCAACTTTAGTTTTATATTACAAGTTTTTGGTTTAAATAAATTGTGTTGTGATACTTCAGGCTTAAAACTTTTTTTTTGTTTTCTAATATTTTGATTAAAAGAAAATATGTAAAAGTGGCCAACGCTGTGCCGGTTACGCTTAACCACGTAACTCAAACTTTATTTGGTATGATCTATATTTAAATATATAAACCAAAAAATAAAACCCAAAAAATTGAGAACCACTGGATCTTTTTTTCTTGTAAATTTAATCTACTACCTATGTTGCCATGTTATCAAGAAATTATGTTTTTAACTAAAAATTAAAAAAAAAACTCCAAATTTCGGGGGAGAACGTTCGATACTTTCTATAAACTCACACTGTTCTATAAATCAGTAATTTTATAGCGTATTAAAGAAAATGACATCTATTTTTCACATTAAACAAGAATTATACGCCAGTTATACAATAATAACTTTTTTTTTTATTTATTATGGAAAAGTGAATAAAATTTCGTATTCAAATATCTTTAACACACCTTCAATATATTAAATATATTTGAAGGCGTCTAAAACACGTTATGTAAGGAAGTATGGGTGTTATTTTTGATCGGTAAAAGTAGTAAAGAACGTAAGATGGCCACAATATGCTGAGGTACTTGACCTTAATTTGCAATTCTAATTAAAAATATATTTACGAATACTATTTCGCAGTTATGTGTTCATATTTATTTTATGTGAATATTAATAATTCATGTATAATTATACACTTTCTTGTACTGTGCACCCGTCTTTGGGCAACTTCCCGCTGTTGAATGGTATATTTTATGACGCGGTTTCATTCAGCAGAAAATTGCTTTTTTCATGTTTGTTGAAACATAAAATTAAAGTTTTATTTATTACCTCTAAAACACTGCCATTCTTATGGTTAAATGGGAGAAGTTTTTATTTATTGTTTTTAATTAAATTAAGAAACACATCTTATTTACAGGTTTTAGTATTGTCGATTTAATGTATTGTTTAGAAAACCAACTCTCTAAACAGTTTCTTTGTACTATTGCACTAATTTAAACTGCTTTACATTGATAGTTACCTTGCAAGTATATATTATTATAGCATGCTTCGACTAACAACAATAGAGTATTTTCAAGACCAGTGGATTTAGTCTTTGATAATTAAAAAATTTCTAATTTCCGATAAGAATTCTGTTTATCTATCTTCGTTCAAGCCGCAGTGGATTACAAAAACTAATATTTCGATAACTATCCCATTTATCCAAAATAAGTCCCGCTGTAGTAGTCAGTTTGAAAATATTTTATATTGTTCCTTATTAATTTTTATTATTTAAGAAATTTGTTTAAATCTTTGCCTAAACAAACGATTTTATAATTAGGGTGTGAAAAAATCATTTTGACATTCAGTATTGTGCAAATAAGTTCCCAGGATGTACAATTCTGAATTTAATGATGTCAACTCCATAAACGAGGAAGTTATTCTTATTTTGCATCACTTTTGAATCACTTAAGTCTATTTTTTTACAGCTAAATTTAATCTTTCTACAAAAACTATAAATTGATTATTGATTCAATAAATTTAACTAAATATACAATCACTTGATCAATATTTGATTAAATTGAAAATGGAGTTTAAGAAACGCT